AAAAAGCCAGCCAGACTACAACCATTAACCAAAGACCATTAAATGTAATATTGACTAAAGTGTTAACACAAGCAATTTCTAAAATATTTAAACCAACCTGAAACAATACGATTGTTTGTACTTTTGTGATTTATCTCTCAGTTATAAAGTATTTGAAAACTATTGAATGGCTCGTTTTTATGTCGTACTTAATTCTGTGTATAACGGACAGGCACATGTTTATGATGAATTCAAGCCGTAAGACCTTAGTTTATTAGGTTCAGGTTGGGTTTACACTGCCTGCAGGATATGCTCCATTCATGGTAGGAATGCTTTAGAGTATCAAACAATTCTCATCTCATTTGCACTATTTCACACAGGTGTGCTTCTACCATGTAAAATCCATTATTTTCATTTTTAGCTCCGCTGTCAACTTTGTCGAGTGGAGTATAAGTGATTGTTCGTCGTCTGTCTGCGTCCGTCGTCCGCGTCAACTTTGTCGAGCAAGCTTATTATATGAGTGATTGTCCGTCGGTGTCGTCCGTGTCAATGTTTTACTTTTTCGACTTCTTCTTGAAAACACAAGCCTGAATGCTTTAATACTTGGTGTATATGTATCTTGGGTAGACCTCTCTCAGATTTGTTCATTTTGTGATGTATTTAATTCTCTAATTTTGGTGAATATTTTTGTCATATGTACTTTGGGTAGACCTCTCTTTAGATTTCTTCATTAAATGTATAGGTACTACATGTGGACCTCTTCCAGATTTTTTCATTTCATGGTGATATCTTCAATTATCTAATTTTGATGAATATTTTTGATGAAAAGTGATATTTTTGAATTCTTGTTGAAAACAGCAAGTCTGATTGCTTTGATACTATACATATTGTTCATTTTCTAATGATATCTTCTGTTCTTTAATTGCAATGTGCATTGCTAACAGTGGAGTTATCTCAGCCAACAGGCTGCTTGTTTAAATATATAATGACCATTATTATTTGATTGTGTTGATGTAACATAGGATTGATGGATTTATTGTTTATTCACAGGTACCAAGGAAAGTAGTTTCCAGACCACAGCAGGATGACCATGTGTTCAAACATCCACTGCCATTTAAATTAAAATTAGTTCCAGAAAATAGAGCCAAAAATGCTGCCATATCTAAGTGTGAAGATGATTATATTTCACAAGAAACCCCATCAAAACACAATGATACCATGGAAGTATCTTTCAGAATCGGTGA